GAGGACACCGTCCTCACCACCAGCCAGAAACTGGGGGCGAGAGCTCCTCAGGGCTGAGCAGAGGCCGCTGCGTATGGCTCTGCCCCGAAGGGCCGCGGCGGGTCGGCGCGCGACACCCACGGCAGTCAGAGGAGCAGACGGCGGCGGGACAGCGCCACGACACGAGGGGAGGCCCGACGCACACCGAGTCCTACCTGTCCGCAGAGACTCCGACCTCGGGGTCAAAAGCTCGCAAGGCAACGGTGGAAGTGTGCAGCGACCGCGGCGAGCTCCAGGAACAAAATGGAGCTGACAGGCGCAGCGCAAGATTCTTCTCGAAAACACTGATGACGCAAGCGGGGCGGGGCCTGCCCTGCCCTGAGTGCGCAGGCGCGGGTCCGCCCCGAGCGGGCGGGGCAGGACGGTGTAGGTGGTGACTCTATTGGTGCGGTTTCTTGAGAATTCTTAACACACTGCCTGCTACGGTTAACAGTCTCCTGCTCACGAAAAACCCAATCTGACTCTGCGAACACCGGAAACAAGGAAGACGAGGGAAGCAAGGTGAAAAGTAGCACCTGCCCTGATTGCAACTTTTTAAATGTTTTAGAACTACCCCAACAGCCGGGCGTTGGTGGCTCACGCCTTTAATCCCAGCACTTGGGAGGCAGAGGCAGGTGGATCTCTGAGAGTTTGAGACCAGCCTGGTCTACAAGAGCTAGTTCCAGGACAACCTCCAAAGCCACAGAGAAACCTTGTCTCAAAAAAACAAACAAAAAGAAAGAAAGGAAAAACTACACCAACAAAGCAGCTCTAGTTAGTAACTAGCTTGGTTTGCAATTTGACCAAGGTTCTGTGGCCTATTTAAAACTAGTTTTTAGTAGTTGGGTATAACATGCACTGAAATGAAATATATTTCCAAAAGCTTTTTTGATTTGGTTGTTGTTTGGTTCTTGTTGTTTTGGGTTTTTTGGTTTTGTTTTTTAGGGTTGTTTTGTTTTGTTTTGAGGCAGGGTTCTTTGTGTAGCCCTGGCTTCTCTGTACAGCCCTGTCCTGGAACTTGCTTTGTAGACTCCTGCCTCTCCCTCCTGAGGGCTGGGATTAAAGGTGTGGGCCACCACTGTCCAGAAATAATTATCACTACATGGAAACAAAACTCTGGGCATATCTGTAAGTTTCTTGATTGGTTTGAGAAGATCTACCATAAATGGGTTAATTCCTTGGACAGGGTCTTGGACTGGATTTAAAAAAAAAAAAAAAAAAAGGCTGGGCAGTGATCGCCTTTAATTCCAGTACTCAGGAGTTTCTGTTTAGCTTTGGAGCCTATCCTGGCACTGGTTTGTGGAACTCACAGAGATCAGCCTGCCTCTGCCTCCCAAATTCTGGGATTAAAGGTGTGTGCCACCAACGCCTGGACTTTTGTTTTGTTTTGATTACCTCTTTTTATAAATTTTTTAAAAATTGTTGTAAGCTTCAGGGAGTTATGATTTGGATCTACTTCTCACAGGTTGAATGGACTCTGTCAATCAACAGCTTGTTCCCCCCCTTCGTATTATTGAGGGTGGGATCTCCCTGGTCTTTCTTGGCAATCCCCCAGGACCTTGGATCTAAAAGTTTCAAATGTGCAATCAATTAAAGACTGCTAACTGCTCCAACTGCTACCTGCACGTCCCACAGAGCCTGGACAGTGAATAAAACAACCTGCTCCTCCCAGCCTTGGCCAACATTCCAGCTTTTTGGGTCCCCAACAATGATGCCCCAATGTCAGTAGGAAGTAGTCATAGATGATTAAATCATCCCTTATCACTCATTTATTATCAACAAAAAGGCTGGGGTGTTAAGTTTCAAACCCAGGACAAATGGCTGAGGTGCTTATTTAACATATCCAGGTGAACCTGGCCTCCAGGTTCTCCCAGGGTTCCTCAGTTCCTGTCTGCTACAGGGTGATTCACCTACTCCACCCTCTACCCTTAACTCTCCAGCCTAGGAGCTGGGCTGCTCCTCCCCCAGAGGCTCCCTATATAATCCAGCCATTTTGGTTACCTGTCCTTTGTACCTGTGGCCTCCTGGCTGCTGCACCTGGTTCCCCTCTCTTTTTCCCTCTCCACATGGCACAGGTCAGTCTGGCATGTCCACTCTGGACTCTCCCAGATGTCCCGACCTCTACCTATGTTCTCCCTTCTATGTATGATAAACTTTCTCCTCCACCACACTTAGGAGCAGTCATGTCCTCTCCTTTCAGTTTTTATTTCTTCTTTTCATTCAAATGAAAGACCCCAGAGGCTCAGGCCCCCAGGATCTCAGCAACCCCAATCACCAGGTGGAGGCAAAAGCTTGATGCAAACAGCAAGAGGTTTTATTGCAGTTTAACAAGCTAACCCCATGTTAGCTCGGGCCTTTCATCCATCCACCATGGTGGAGGCTAGAGAAAAGACTCTGAGAAGACACAAACATG